CGACCAACTGAGCCACCCAGGCGCCCAAGGCCTTTATCTTTTTAATAACATACTTCCCCGGGAATCTCTCTGCATTAGCTTTGAGGGGCAAACCTTGGCATTCTGTTAGGACTGCCTGAGTATCAAGTCTTATTCCCCACCCCCAAATTAACTCTGGTGGCTGGGTTGCTCAGCCCGGGGCTCAGGCTGTGGGCTCGGGCATCAGGCGAGGGGTCCTCCTCCTGGTTAACCTTGGTGGACCTAGTGACCTTGGGCTGGTTGACCTCAATGGGCCCCCATGTCTTCATAAGCCAGACAGTCCTACACCCCTCAGAGTAGTGCTGGAGGGTTGAATCAGATGAAACGTATTTGAAGGGCTTCCCTGGTGAGACTGTTTCTCCAGATGTTTGTAAGATAGCAACCCTGGTATTCTTTTGGTCCAAAATGAATGCCTTTGCATTTTTTAAAAATTTATTTATTTATTTTGAGAGAGTGAGAATGAGAGAGAGAGAGAGAGAGAGCACATGAGAGGGGGGAGGGCCAGAGGGAGAAGCAGGTTCCTCGCTGAGCAGGAAGCCCGATGCGGGACTCGATCCCGGGACTCCAGGATCATGACCTGAGCCGAAGGCAGTCGCTTAACCAACTGAGCCACCCAGGCGCCCTGCCTTTGCATTTGTGAGCATGGTACTTACTGCACCATGCTTTGAGACCAGAATCAGAATCCATGCATGTTCAGGACTCAGCAACGTGGCTCCTACCATTTCTGCCAGAGTCTTCAGGTATAAATTGTAAAAGGTGTAAATCTGACAGTCCCAATAGTGGTCTGTTTGTTGGGGACATTGAGGGTGCACTCTGCCCCCTCCCCCGCCGAGTTGTGGGGCATGAAGTAGAGACTCAGTTAATGACCACCCCTGCCTTCCCTGCTCCCTATAAAGCCAGGCGTCTGCTGGGAAGTCCCAGGTTCGTTCTCATCCTTAGGAAGTGGCTTCACTGCATACTTCTGCTTTCACCATCTATCCAGTGGGGTGACTAATGACCACTTCACAGCACTATCGGATTAAACGAGGTGATTTTGCACAGGGCCCAACGCTTAGTAAGCTCTCGATAAACCAGAAACACAGGCGGCTACTGTTAATTCTTCCTAAGGCTGGTGTAAAGATGAAAAGGATGGGCATATGAGACAGTGTGCTGGGAGCCGCAGAGCAGACCAGTTTGAGCTATTAGGTGCTTTGAGCCCCACGGCGTGCACGGCCCATACTGTCGCTGGGTGCTTTGAAAGGAGCAAATACAACAGAAAAATTGACGAAGGGGATCTGGGAGGTTTTTCCTGCCTGTCTTGCAAAGCCAGGCCCTGAAGGAAGTGACCATGGACCAGCCCTTGTAGAGAGGGTCACTTTGAAGAGGGAAGGATGCACTTCTCGATTATAAATCCCAGCTCCACAGGGAGGGGTGAGGACACCACTCGTGTGTCGCCTTCTGGTCCTGCCAGGGCTTACCACAGCTGGCCCTCGGCCAGTGCTTCGGGGAGGGACGAAGGCAGGCGGCCATTACTGAGTCCCGAGGACTGATCCCTGCTCTTCCCGGCCCTGCTTGGCTTTGGAGATGTCCCTCCCCACATCTACATGCCGGCTTTATTCCCATGCCGGGCGGATGGCCCGCTGCACCACCCAGACCGGCCCGCCTAGCGGCACCTGGGCCCCTTCCCTCTACCTGGGACTTGCCCGCTGGGGTGCTGGGCTTCTGCTTCCAGGCCCTGACTCACCAAAGTGGTCACGTTGAAAGATTTCTACCCATTTAAAGATTTCTTTAAATTCCTTTAACCTGTTTCCAGACTTTGCTGAGGCCCTTTCTGAAATATTTCTCCTTTTTCTTAGGCCTGGAGAATGTCTCAGGCTTGTGGGCCTAACAGAAAGTTTGCAGAGAGGAGTATTGAAGGGCAGTTTCCAAACCCTTTTTTTTTTTTTAAGATTTTATTTATTTATTTTGACACAGAGAGAGAGAGAGAGTGAGACAGAGCACTAGTGGGGGCAGGGTGGAGAGGGAGAAGCAGGCTCTCAAGGAGCCCAAGGTGGGGCTCGATCCCAGGACCCTGGGATCATGACCTGAACCAAAGGCAGACTCTTAAATGACTGAGCCACCCAGGCGCCCCTTTTCCGAGCCTTCTTGGCTCCTATTGGTCAGAACCTCAGAAGAGACGCAGAAGGCTGATGTCTGAGCCCCTCCCAGTGCGTGACCCCGTAGTGCCAGCCCCACCGTGCTGGGGGAGGCCGTACTTGCTCAGGGTTATGTGAGCAGGGAACCCCAGCCCATTCTTCCCCCGCTGGGTGAGGACCAATTCCTGCGTGTTCCCTGACCTGTTCTTGTCTCTTCCATCCTCCTTTTGCCCCCAGTGATTCACATCTTAGATGCACTGCCCTTCAATACTCGCCTCTGTTCCTCCTCTCTGCAGACTTTGCTGAGACACACACTAGATGCTGAGCGGTGGGCAGAGGACGTTTACTCAAGATCCCAGCATGGTTGGTACCATTGTGGTAGTTTAACTGACCTGTCCTCCTAACCCTGAATTGTTCAGAGAGGTGTTTCCCAAAGTGTTTTCCTTGGAACACCAGGTTGCCAAGATGAGCCGTGCCTACTTCTAGTGGAAAGTTCCCGAACACAGAGGATTGTGTGATCAGATGAGTCTGTGTGCTTTGTTTCCCTGCGGGAGGTTTCAGATGACCAATACGAAGGTTCTGGAAAGTTCCACACTATAGAAGCCTGTTTATTCGGACTAGGACTCCCTGTAACAGAGACTGTCCCTCCAGCCTCTTTGTAAGAACTCTTCTTACCTCAGGTCTTATTCTTGTTGGCTCTTTTTGCCAGAAAGCTCTTCTCTGTGTTGGTTCAAGTCCAGCTCTGTCATGTCCATGCATAGAGCCCAGCTCTCACTGCTCTTTGGGAATGTTTGTGGAAAGTTTAAATGCATCAGGGGAAGACTGTGCTCTGCTTCCCGGGGCCAGATACTGTTGGTTCCTTCCACTCCCATCCTTGTGTGGGGTCTTAAGTCCATTGACCTTCTTAGGTACCCCCCCCCCCCCACCAACCGACCAGGCCCACATCCCGCAACGTGTGGGGCCGGCCTGGAGTGGAGAAGACTGTCACAGGCTGGGGAGGGCTGTGATCCCCTTCTTTCAGGATTTGGCATTGTGAGAACACAGAGCTGCTGTGTTAGGAAATATCCAGCAGGGGGAGGCGGCATCTGCTGAGTACTGGAGGACTGACAATGGGGCTGTTGGCTCTCAGAGAAGGAAGAGGGCAGCTCCCTGAGCTTGGGAGTGCAGAAAGGCCCCTGAGGACAGTGGGGTGGTGGGAGGTGCATTCTGGGTGGGAGGAATGGCATGAGTCGGCTGCTGTGGTTGAAACAGAGCCTGCTGGGGAGTACTGGGCCTCATCTCTGGCCTGACCACGTGGGCCTCAAAATACCACCAGCGCTCAGGGTTAGATTTCTGATTGCCCACAAGCTGCATTCCTTGGTGGGTGGTGGTGTGGGTGCCAACAATGGTGGGCTTTTGTTGTTGGGAGGGTGGGGAGAGGGATAGATAGTGAAGGAGCCTGATTGGCTTATCTATTTTTACTGTGGGGGAAAATACACGTAAAATTCGCCACCTTGACCATGGAGGCGTGCCGTTCAGTGTATATTCACCGCCCTCTGTCTCCGGACCTTTTCCTCATCCCAGACTGAAACTCTGACCCACGAAACAGTCACTCCCCAGGCCCTGGGAACCACTGTTCTACTTTCTGTCTCCATGATATGACTCTTCTTGGGCCCTCAGACAAGTGCAGTTATATAGTATTTGTTCTTTTCTGTCTGGCTTGTCTCAGCCCTGCTGTTTGTTGTCAAGGTTCCTCCCCGAGGTAGCGTGTGTCAGATTTTCCCTCCTTTTTATTGTGAATAATATCCTATTGTATGAATACCCCATATTCCTTTGCATGGATATACTGCATTTTGTTTATCCATTCATCAAAAATGGACACCTGGGTTGTCGGCACCTTTTGGCTACTGTGAACCGATTTGCTTTGTAAAGCGAGGTGTTCACACCTGCCCAACAAGGATCCCTGAGGAGCAGAAAATGGGACGGACTTGGAGGGAGAAGGGCCGGGGGTCGGTAAGGAAACTCTGTCACAGCCCAGGTGTGTGGAGAAGTAGGGGGTGGACAGGTTGGCAGAAAGCAGAGGACAGAAGCTTGAAGAAGGATCCCCCCTCCGTGGTGAGGCTGGGTTTGTTTCCAGGCGGGGAACTGGGGGGCTGGAGGGACACCAGCAGAGATGCTGGCTCTGTGGTAAAACCCGGCCAACAGGTCAGAGCCAGGTCCTCTCTCAGCAGACACTCACAGGGATGTGACTGTCTGGACCTGGAGGCTAGATGAGCGTGCCAGAGAGCCGGGGCCAGGACAGCCGCGTGCAAGGGTGGGAACCAGCTTCCCCAGGCAGGAGACCAGAAGGATGAACAGAGAGGGGCGCCGGGGTGCGCTCAGCCAGTTGGGTTATCTGACTCTTGATTCGGCTCAGGTCATGATCTCGGGGCCTTGGGATGGAGCCCTGAGTTGGGCTCCCTGCTCAGCATGGAGTCTGCTTCTCCCTCTCCCTCTGCTCCTCCCCCACTCTCTCGCACTCGCTCGCTCGCTCTCAAATAAGTAAATAAGTAAAATCTTTAAAAAAAAGAATAAGAAGGATGAACGGAGGGGTTTGTGGAAGTGGGGGAGGCAGGGACCCAAACTTATGGCCTTGTTAAGGGGATACAAGACCTGACAACAACCATGTTATACAGGATCCCCTTTGAATCGTGTTGTGCAGTGCCTGAAGGCATTTCAAGAAGGGAGTCCCTTCTGATCTGGTGACCCAAGTGGGCACTGCAAAGCAGCAGGGGACGGTTATTTTCCAGTAAGTGAGGCCAAAAGAATTACGTGTTTGGGAGAGTGACACGTATCTGATGGTCCTGGCCATGGTGGTCCCTTGTCAGCATCCTTCCTTTGACCCCGCAGGTATGACGCTGGACGGGACGGCTTCATTGACCTGATGGAGCTGAAGCTGATGATGGAGAAGCTGGGGGCCCCACAGACCCACCTGGGCCTGAAAAACATGATCAAGGAAGTGGATGAGGACTTCGACGGCCAGCTCAGCTTCCGCGAGGTACCTGAGTCCCTGCGTTGGAGGGCCCCCGAGAGGAACCTTACAGTCACGGGCCCCTGGAGCACAGGTGGTTTTGGCCTCTCCCGAGCACTGATGGGACAGTTAACCTAGAGTTCTTTAAAAATATCTTTAAAAAGCTAGTGAACTGCAGTGCTGGCATGGGAAAGTGCTCGGTAAGCAGATGGAGAGTCACTGTGGGTAGGACAACCTCATTTGGGTGAATGTTTGGGTGTGGAGAAATCTGGAAGGATGTTTACCAAAGAGTGGATATGTGTGGGTGCAAAGTTTTGGTAGTTTTATGATTTTATACTTTTTTAGATATCAAAACTTTCAACTTTTATAATAAGCATAAAGATAGTCAAAAAGGAATTAAACAGAGGGTCTTACTCCGTGTTCATGGAGCTCCCTGTGTCCCCATAACAATCCAAGAACGGGCTTTTTGGCCTTTGAATCCCTGAAATTGCAGGCAAAATTTTGTATGTACAGATATCTTTCTGGAAGAGTGCAGGTAGATTAGATTCAAAGTCTGATCTCTAAATGTGTGAGAACTTGGTGATAAGGCCGTTTCTATCTTGGGGAGGACATCTCGGGGACACTGGCTTTCTTCCAGGGCAGGGATGCAGCCCCACAAAGAAGGGTTCCATGTCTTATGTGCTTGAGTTTCATTGCGAGGTCTCCAGCTGTGTCTGTGTGCCCTGGTGCTAGAACAGGTTGGGGGACAACACCCGGGCTCAAAGCTCCAAGCAGTAGTCCGGCTGCTACAGTCCCATTCTGTCACGTCTCAGCTGGACCCTCGGGGGCTGGGAATAGACAGCACTGTCCTTGCTTCCTGGTGTGTAACCTTGGTTATTCCAGAAACAGTGGAGTTCCAGCATCCTGGTTTCTGATGGTGAGGGCTTTGGCCAAGTACGGGTCCTCTCTCCAGGCTAGATAGGGCCCGTGGACGTTCTTCTGAGGTCCCTGGGGCCGAACCGGCAGCAGCAAGTCCTCTCCCCAGCTGTGGTGAAACTGGCCTTGCCTCTCACTGCCCACAAATCAACTCCAGATTCCCCCCTTCAATTCCTCTCCTGGACTGGCACATGCAGAGAGAGAAGATCACAGAAATCCTGTGTTGGGCATAACCCTCAGGATATTCTAGGCCAGCCTTCTCGTTTCAGAGCTAAGGAGCTAGAGGGCCAAAACGGTCAGCACTTGGCCTGAAATCACGTTCCAGCTCAAGGCTGGACCTGGGTGGCGGGCTTGGTGCCCACGGCCTCCCGTCGTCAGCTGCCACGCTTGTCTTCACAGCTGTCCCTCTGGCTCCCTGGCCTCTCGTTTGGCTCCTTTGTATCATTCGCGCTAGGCATTGGCTCTTTCAACGCAGCTGTCCCTGGGGTAGAGAAGGTAAAAGCTTTCGTGTGGGTGAAGCTTTGGAGGCAACACCAGGGAAAGAGCTTCTGTGGCAAAGTTGTGACCTGTGGGGAACAGAAATCGAGAGGGTGTTGAGAGGTCTGCGCAGGTCACCAGCTGAGCTAAGACACAGTCCCAGGAGCCACCCAAACGTGCTCCTCCCTGAATCCAAGATGCTTGGTTAGCTTTCGCTTAGCTACAGGTTTGGCCGTTTCCCACAGAAATGCCCACAGGTGGACATCAGAGGTTTGGAAATCTCTGAAGTGTTCCTGTTGTAGGTTGTGTCCCCCCCCCCCCC